ATACATCTTCAGCATATCCTCAATAATCTGTAACCCTGCCAAGAAAACCTCCTTTCATTATATCTTATGGGTGAGAATCCTTTGAAACAATCATCTGTTGGTGTGTTTACATTCCCCGTGGTGGCGGCCATCTTTGTTATTGAAGATAGTTTGTTGTAGAAAACAAGCTTTTCCAACACAGAATTTTCACTCCCTTTCACTTACTTGTATCTTATTTAATTTTAAAATTGCCTATACCTTTATGTAACCTGGGACACCACTCACACCCCTCAGCCTGTTCCTAATACTTAAGCAATTTGATATTCCTGGAGCCTGGTGCAGTGTCTCCTAGTGTGTGTGTTGTGTGTGTGTGTGTGTGTGTGTGTGTGTGTGTGTGTGTGTGTGTGTGTGTGTGTGTGTGTGTGAGAGAGAGCCATAAACAACTAGGACCTATGAACAACCATCCAGAGCGTGTTCGAGTCTACAGTAAGAATGCTTCTCTTATAACCTGGTGCTTTATTACTCATTAATCGCCTCTTGTAACTTAATTTCTATTTTGTATTATATTATAACTCTGTATACATTTTTTGTAATAAATGTTTTATTTATGTGAATAATAATTTGAATGCAAAACCATTTGTTACGATTATTGGCCTCTTAATCTCTGGAGGGTTATTAGAGCCACTGCAGTAGTTCACTGAACAACAGGCAATTACACTTTAGTACCAAATACACACACACACACACACACACACACACACACACACACACACACACACACACACACACACACACACACACACACAAACACACATCAACTAGGAAGTGATGTGGTGGAGGCTGACTCCATACACAGTTTCAAGTGTAGATATGATAGAGCTCGAGAAGCTCAGGAATCTCTACACCAGTAGAGTGATGGTTGAGAGGCAGGACCAAAGAGCCACAACTCAACCCCCGTAAGCACAACTAGGTGCGTACAACTAGGTGAGTACACACACACAAACAGACGTAGTATCAGTAACAGGTGTTTGCAGGTGTTGTTGAGGATGGAAGTTCTCAGGGCGATACAAGAGATCTTAAAGCGATGCGTCGGCCCCTTTGGTTCGGGCTCATTGATGCTCCCGCCTCAAGAAAACATTAAATGTCATCCCAACTTGCTGGTAATATCTTATTTCCTTGATATCTCTTCACTACGGCA